GAGGAGAGGAGAGGAGAGGAGAGGAGAGGAGAGGAGAGGAGAGGAGTTCCTGGTTGTCCTGGAACTTGCTTTGTAGAGCAGGCTGATCTTGAACTCACAGCAATCCACCTGCCTCTGGCTCCTGAGTGCTGGGATTAAAGGTGTGTGCCACCATTGCCCAGCTACAGCCCAATCTTACGGAGGCATTTCCTCAGTTGAGGGCCCCTCCTCTCGGATGACTATAAAGTTGACATAAAACTAGCCAGCAAAATGGTTGACACAACCATATCAGCTCTGGTCAAAGGGAAAACAAATGGTAGTCAGAAACTCTTCAGTCATAAGGAAAGCACAGAGAAGAGCTAACACCCTAAGATATGTCTCTGCCAACAGCGGGTGTCTTTTCTCTTCTTTTGTTCTCAACAAAATGATGAGATTCAGCACTTTGACTGCTGTGGCTGAGCAGCTGTTCTCTCTGTCACAGATCTATTAGCTCCATGCCTCCTCTGCCGAGTGGGTGGTGCCAAAATAAAATCTGCCAGGGAGAAGCTGACAGGGACGGGAAAGGCAGTGAGTGTCCTCTGAGTGAGCTGGGACGTGACCCAGAATTCAGAGGAAAGGGCATCTGGGGAAGCGAGTCTGTACAGTCCTTGTTCAGCTCACTTGTTTGTCTCTAATGAGGGAGACAATTTTCACAGCCACAGATGACTGCAAGTCATAGACTAAACTGGGTTGAAAACATGTTTTGCGTTAGGATATTTCTTTGTCCATTTGGACTGCTATAACAAAATGCCTTAGGCAGGGTAGCTTATAAACAACAGAAACCTATGGATTTGTTGTCTGCCCAGGGCTCCTTCCTGGTGCACAATTGGCCTCTCACTACTCCCTTAGGTGTCAGAAGAGACAAGCATCTCCCGGGTCCCTAAGGGCACTTCTCTTGCATGTGGAACTCTGCCCATGACCCAGTGTCCGTACGAAGATTCTACCTGCTGAGATCACCACTCAGACAGGCAGGATAGTCATGTATGAATCTGGGCATGTAAACCTTCAGACCACAGCAGGAGCGTTCACAATATTGATGCCCTAGCTATTCCCCACCCAGGGGAGGCTGTCCAGTACATCTGGGAAAATTTTAAGTGACATGAAACTTGGCCATCACTTTACCTCCAATTCTCCTCTTTCTGCGTGCCTGTCAGTTCTCTAACTCAGGAAGGCCATCTGGAACCTTCTCTCCAAAATAACATATCCTCAAATAACAAAACAAAACAAAACAAACAACAACAACAACAAAGCCTGTCTCTTCCTTCCTCCTCCCCCTTGCTAAAATGGCAGCACCGCGTGGGAAATTCTTGAGGATTTCAATCACCCGGCTTCCTACCCTTCACGACAAAGGTTAATCGAGAGGGGAATGAAAACAACACATCGTCTTATGAGGAATGAAAGATGGCCAGATGCAACCCACGGAGGGCGGCTGCGATTTCAATTTTCCTTACTGTAATGAAAACTGCATTTCCATTAACGGCTGCGGTAGACATTATTTACCGTCAGAGTCACCTGCGCCGCCGGGCTGGGCTGCTCCCGGGTCTCACAATGAGGCCCGGCTCTGCAGAGCTGTGTGCCCAAGAATCGCTTCGTTTACCACCCTCCACGTGGACCTGGGACTGCTGCAGAGGGTAAAGGCTATGTGCTGTGGGTGTGAAGGGGGGGGGGGCGCTCTGAAATAGAACCAGGGTAGCCTTCGAAATGCCTTCTCCTTCCCCCAAGCTGTTACCTCTCTTTTTTCCCCAGTTAGAAGTGTTTTATTTTTCTGTGTGTGTTTCACAGGCAGCCAGACATAGGTCAGTAAGTAGCTTCTAGGTACCTGGCATGCTTAGTGCCTTGTGTCCTCATTGGACCCCACACCCGATGTTTGAGATTGTCCTACAGGATGACCCCTTCCCTCTTCTCTAGCAATAAGATCCTTGTTATTTCAGCTTCGATGAAGATGACTTCTTGCAACAAGACCGACCACCTTCCCCAGCATCCTTTGGAGCGACGGGCAGCTGTGTGGTCCCTGGGAGCTGAGGACCGCATGTTCCACCCAGTTGTCAAGTGGTGTCCATTTTGTCAGCTGGGATGTGGACTTGAGAGCTGGACGTGAGCAAGCTTCTTACACCCTGAGTGAGAAGCTCTTGCTGGCTAAGTGCTGAGGAGGAGCCCCAGTGTGTGACAGAGGAGAGTTTTAAGACCTTTGCAGCTATGGCTGAACTCTCCTACTAGATCGGCTGCTGGAAGATGTCGAAGGAGGTGTTGCATAGTATGGGGCCACTAAACCTGAGCTAAAAATTTTGCCTCTCCTAGGCTTATCAACTTTGGGGCCTTATGCAAATTGTATCAGTGCTCTGTGTCTGATTCTTCACTGTGAAATCAGTAGAAATAAAACTTTAAGAGATTTTGTGACAAATTATATATATATATATATATATATAAATTTCAACATAAAGCCAGGGGTGGCAGCTTATGCCTGTCATCCTAGCACTGGGGAGGCTAACACAGGAGGGTTCATGAGGTCCAGTCTAACCTGGGCTACATAATAAGAGCTTGTCAAAACCAAACCAAATCAAACAAGGAAACTTTCCAACATCGAGCCTGGCGTGTGGTTAGGGCATGCCACGGGCCAGGCAGCCCTCTGCCAGTGTCGCGGGGGTGGCGTGGGCGAGCCTCGGAGAAGCCACAGACAGTCAGACCTGGAAGTCATCGAGCTTTGTGATTTTTCCACGACCGTGACCACCGTGAGCACCCAGAAGTCACTATGGAAAACAAGGAAAAGTTAGCTTTAGCCTTTGTCTCATGCCCAACCCCGCACAAGCAACTTCTCCCCCCCACTTTTTAGGTAGCTCGGTTCATTCTTCACATTTGTGTGTGTGTGTGTGTGTGTGTGTGTGTGATGTCATGGTGCTTGTGTGGAGGTCCAAAGACAACTTACAGAGTTAGTTCTCTCCTCCCACTGTGTGGACCCGGGGGGATGGAACTCAGATTATCACGTTTGTCAGCAAGCACCCTTGTCCTCCGCCATACCCCTGTCCCCCCCCCCCCCCGCCCCCTGCCCACGTCATTCTTTGAGTCCAAAGTTAATGTCTCTTACAACAGATCTGTGAAGTGGGAGTGTTTATTTGAATCACGGTGCCCCAGACTTGCATGTGGCAATGTTTCCAGTAAGCGGTGTTTACTGACCGTGATCTTTGGATGACGATGCTCTCCTCTGTGACACGGTGACCCTCCCTTTTCCTTTACTACATAGTGATTCGTTTTTTCATTTTCAGATAATTCAAATCTGACGCTCTCTCCGTCTTTAGAAATTCAAGTCCGTGTCGATGGAATCTTTCTCACCTGAGCTTCTCCATGATCAAGCCTAGGTCTTGGAGGTAATTCTTCTACACCCCCTGTGGGCTCGGAGCCACTAGAGAGAGGCTGGTGGTTATTTTCAAGCCAGATGCATCGATATGGCTGTGCCCTCCATGAAGGTCAAGGGTGAGTTTGCTTTCCAGCATGTCCCCACTTCCAGTTCAGAAAGGCCTCAGAAATAGGAACAGAATGACCGTGGAGGGGGTGAGAACCAACCGCCAGGCTGCCAGGCTCACTGCAGGAAGCAGTCCTGGGTGAATCAAGATACTGGCTGGTGCCTACACAACCCAGTGCCCTCACAGAGCCCAGGGATGGTGCATCGGTCAGGCTTTAACCCTACACCCCAGTCCCACCCTGTGTCAGCAGCACCCCATCCTCCTTTTAGGAGGTTTGGTGCCGTGGACTGCCCTCCGATTGGGGGCGGGGTGGGAATGTCTGCTTCTTGGAAAGAACAAGGGCCAGAGTCTCCCTCTCGGCACATCAAACAACTGTCAGGATAATGTGGGATGGCGGGAGGTCATTCGCCATAGGCAGAGCAGTGTGAGGACCACACACAAGCTCCAGGCTTGGCAGCCGCACCCCACCCCACGGTGTCCCCACCCACTTTCCAGACCCACATTTTTTTTTTAGCTTTCCACAGATTCCAGTGCCCCCCCCACATTTTGAATGTCCCTCTGATTCTTGAGAGAGCATGCGAGTTGAACGGTAAGAGCAATTTCATGGAGGTTCTTTGTGTTCACCCATGGCTTGGTTAAATGTGCAGATAGCAGAGGTTGCAGAGAGAGGATGCACAGTTGAACCCAGTGTTCTTCAATTAGCAGTGTGGAGACTGAAGTAACCTGGGGCCCGTGATAGTGACCATTTCTAAGACGATTATAGGGCCTGGAGGGATGGCTCAGTGGTTAAGAGCACCGGCTGCTCTTCCAGAGGTCCTGAGTTCAATTCCCAGCAGCCACAACTGTGGGATCTAATGAGATCTAATGGCCTCTTCTGTCATGCAGGCAAACATGCAAATAGAACACTCACGTACATAAAATACATAAATAAGTAATAATAAACTTTTAAACGTTTAAGAAATATGATTGCAGATCTGAAGACTGAGCCCAGGGCAGCACGCTCTGGGCGCCAACACCTGCTTTTGCTATCGCTAAGGCATTTTTCTCACCCATCGGGAATGCACCTTGGCAGATGCTCGCCTGCCTTCACAGCGTGCATGGTGCCCTACCGACTCTCCACAGACTGGGATGATTCAGGGGCGTTTTCTCCGGCTTGAAGCAGTGGGTGTGGTGATGGCTGTTTCCAGATAGAAAACCATGGGCTCCTGGAAAGAGCTGAAGAAATGATTGGCTTGTGCTTTGGCTGAATTGAGAAAGCAGATCCTGGGGCTTGGACACCTCCATCAAAGGGCCTGGCTCTCATTTCCACACCACAATTGTTCCCTTCCAGAAATATGGACCCCATTATTAAATGAGATCGGAAAATGATTCTTGGTTTTTTTTTTTTTTTTTTTTTGAGAGTCTATATTTCAAAAGGAATGATTTTTGAGAAGCACATTCCACAAGCCACGTTTGGTGGTCTAATTCCCAGGGCAGCAATCCTCCTGCTTCTTCCCAGTCTCTTTTTGAACCTTCTGGGTGGTTGTGTGGTGGTGGTCATGGTGGTGTGATGGTAGTGTAGTGGTGGTGTGGTGATGGTAGTGGTGGTGGTGTGGTTGTTGTTGTTGGTGTGCTGGTGGTTGTGATGACTTGTTGGTATGGTAGTGTGGTGGTGATGGTGTGGTGGGCTAGTGGTGGTGGTGTGGTAGTGGTTGTAGTAGTGGTTGTGGTGGTGATGTGGTATTGTGGTGGTGGTGGTGTGGTTGTTGGTGGTGGTTGTGGTAATGGTGTGATTGTGTGGTAGTGATGGTATGGTAGTGGTGTTGTGCTAGTGGTGGTGTGGTGGTGATGATGGTGGTAGTCATGGTGGTGGTGGTGGTGTGGTGGTGTGGTGTGGTGGTGGTGTGGTGGTGGTGTGGTGTGGTGGTGGT